TCTGTTTATATTTTATAATTATGCAGATACAAATGAAACCTAAGTCTTAAATTCTGTTGAGTGATACATGAGCCACTACTGCATGACACTGGTAAATCACACTTTGCTAATGATCTGTGTTAGGGAAAATGTGGGTGGGTTTTATATGATACAAAATTGTCAGCTCATTAATTAATAATGGTTGAAACTGAGTAATTGGTACATTGGGGTTAATTATGCTAATCTCTTTTTAGTATATATTTGAAATTATTCATGGTTAAAAAAATAAATATCTGCCACTTAAAAACATCATGTGAAATTAAAAAAAAGAAAAATCACCAGGATATTTTTGCAGTGTTATAAGGTACATTTCACCAGAAGAAATACCGTGGAAAAAAGCAACCACCAAATGAAATGAAGACTTTTAAAAACATCTCCCTAGGTTTGTATCATACCTCAATGGTAGAAACACCAAACACTCTAGTTAGTACAAATAGAAGAGATTATACAAAGGGAACTGAGTACCTTTCAATTCTTCCAGTTGAAGGACTGGAAGAATTGAAATCAAGGGGTGCTACTGGATTATTAAGCACCAGGACACATCGATAGGTCAGGAAGCTGCTTCATTCAGCAAAGCTGTCCCTTCACAGCCAGCAAGACTAGATACTGGAAATGGTGAGGCAGGCCTTAGTAACTTACTGAAGTCTTCATTTGCGAAATCGTTATTCTGGTTTGCCAGATCATTTCTGCTTTTCAGTCTCAGGGAGGTATACCTAATTGGTGGAATTTAATGTGTCTCCAGAACCCTAGCTGCAATGAGTCTGCAAAATGCAGATTTTTGGGATTGCAATTTTTTTAACTAGAAGGAAGGTGGAATGGAAGTTGAAAAAGGTTATCCACAGTATCTATAATAATGATACTTTCAGAAGTACCTGAAAAAATAAAATTCATATAATAAGAAGAGATGGTTTTTGAAGGCCTGAATTGTAGTGAACAAATCTATCTTTGATTTCCCCCCCAAAATGAAAAAGATGACTCGATCAAGCAACATGATCAAATTCAGCAATTTAAAGTACTCACAAAGCCAACTACACTGTAGTTTATGTTGCCCTTTACCTAAACTATAGATAAAAGAAGCATGGATATTCTTCTTCTCTTCATTTCACAAGTTGATGTTTTTCAAGAAATAATTTTTCACCTGCTTGATAAGATTGTAAGTCTTCAAAAATCAACAAGTTACTTTGTCTCATAATGAAACAATTATAACCTTGGCAAATATATATAGACCAACAGAGAAATAAGGCCCAAATTAAGATGACCCAATTCTCTCAGGTTGGCCTTTTGGAATTGTAAGTTATAGTATTTCTGGAGTTAAATTATTATCACCCTATATATTTATAAGCATATTAATTATAAAAATAATTTTGACATAATAGATGATAGATGATAATCCTGTAAAATTATGTTTCATTATCACACTTTACAACAGGATTTTTTTTCAAGGATGATCTGTATAGAAATTTAAATTATAAGAAGGATCCTGAAACCATAGTAGCTTTCCTGAAATAAGCTGCCAGAAAAGGACCAATTCATTCATGCATGCATGTATTCTTGAGGGAAATATTTACTAAATGCCTGCTATATGCCTAGCTTTGTAGTAGGTGTTGAATACACAGAGGTAGATAAACAGACATAAAATCTACCCTAATGGCACTTACAATTTGATGAGGGAGGCACATGGTAAATATGGAAACTAAATATCCGTAAGAATAACTTGAAGTAAAAGCAATGGAAGAAATAAATCTGGGGCAATGTTAGAAAACAATGAATGGAGTAGGGAGCTATTTAAGAATGCAGCCATGTGATGTATGCATGTGGAGTGTGTGTGTGTGTGTGTGGTTTGTACAAAGGATCAGAACACGCAGAAATGTGTAGGTGTTTGGATTTTTATCAAAAGGATAATGGAAGATTCTGAGCTGAAGTTTTAAACAGTAATCTATATAGATCATAGTTAATGCCCTGGGAATAGATAAGATTACTCAGAGATATTACGTCAAAAGGAAAAGAAAATAGAATCCAGAATCAAGACCGGGGAACTCCAACATCTAGAGATTA